AAATTACTCATATATACAAACATATCAAGAAAAATAATCCTCACATTATCTAAAATTTCATTCAGTAAATGGTTACAGGTAAGAGTTAATTGGAGATTAAGAGTCATATAAGTCCATATCACCATAACTGCTAGATTATATTAATCAAACTGATTAAAATATACAGTGGAATGCACAGATAAGCATTAATTAAAGTTAATTAAGACGTAATTAAGATAATTATCGCTTTAATTAACTGGGTAAATACTGGCGCCATTCATCTGGAACTCCTCTTCTGAGCTTCAGCATTCTCACAGCAGCTGATGTCAGAGGAATGGAGAGTACATCATAATCTTTTGGAGCCTGTGTTAGTGATAAGATATGAATTCTAATTGCCCCTGATAAATGGAAAAAATTACAAAAAAGACCTATAATTGTTTAGAATGCAAGAAATGATAAATTATTTTGGTAGGGGTACCTTTGGAATTTTAATCAGCTTCATGTTTGCTTCCTCAGGGGACTTGTGACCTTTCTTTGAGTTGCATCTTATGCAGGCTGTGACCTTCAAGTTAGAGGAACAAAAATGAAAGAAAATTGTGTAAAACAATTTTTGAAGATTTATAATTTATAATTACATTTGAAAAGCTATGACTCATTTTCAATGTTTGTTTATTGTAATTTTGTTCATCACCGTCTCATAAAATCTAACCTGGTCTGCAGGGGCAGACTCGGGTAGATCTAGGGAGGGCAATTGAACCATCATCAAGGCTTTTCACATAAACACAGCAATCATACTCACATCGCCTGTAGCCAATCTGCATCATGCAGGAGTCAAACCGCTTGTACCATTGTCTTGGAGACTGTTTCAACTTTCAACCCATACAACGATTTCTTTAACCTGCAAACCAGATGCTGCTGTCCAGGCTGAGTGAACCCTTCTGACTGCTCCATGTAAATCTGCTCCTCCAAATCACCATGCAAGAAAGCAGTTTTAACATTCATCTGCTCCAAATACAAATCCCAAACAGCTATTAATGCAAGCACTGCCCTGATTGAAGTATGGCTGATCACAGGAGAAAAGATTTCATCATAATTTATCCCCTTTTGCTGCGAAAATCCCTTTGCAACTAGTCCAGCCTTGAACTTTTCCCCTTCTTTTTCTGATACTGTTGGTTTCCTTTTGTAGACCCATTTGCATCCAATGACATTCTTTCCTTCTGGAAGCTGAACTAGCTCCCAAGTGCGGTTTTTCTGCAAAGACTTCATCTCCTCAACCATTGCACCATCCATTTTTTTTTCTCCTAGCTAGTGATAGCTCCTTG